CGGCCAAGAAGATAACTGTTACTCCAAGATCCAGATGCAGAGTATACAAGACTAATAACGTTGCTTCGTACGATTACTTGAGGACCTTCATTAACATGAGGATTTTGATTTGTTTCCCAACTATACGAAGGACGTGATATTTCAACTCGCTGACTATCTATAGTCCATGGGTTCAACATATGAGCAATATACAAAATTTGACGAACATTCGTGTTGCCCTCCCAGCCGGACCAAAGAAAATACATTTGGCCCTTGTTTTCAAGTACAGTTCCATCTGGTGAACCTAATCGTGATCGGTATGAAGCCGAGGCTGCCGTTTTAAAGAATGGACCGTATTCACGCTCGGAAGTATCTGCGTCAAATGGACTAAAAGTAGGGCATATTGATAATAGTGACAGTTCAGTAGAATTTTCCGTTCAATGTTCGAAAGCAGGCTGGTATATCGTGATAGTGCGAACCGGAAATGGATCAAGTGGTAATGCTTTAGCGAGTCATAAATTATCAGTGAATAATGGAGGAACGAGTGAAGTATTTACTGTTTACTCGGGATGGAATAATTGGGGATCATTGACCCTAAGATTGAAGTTGAATGCAGGAACAAACACATTGAAAGTTACAAAGGGACAAAATTTCGCTGAAATTGATTGCCTCGATGTGTTTATCGATCAGTAATTCAACAATGTTTTTTACAATCTATAACAAGAATGTTTTCGGGTGATAATTTAAATACATCGAAGCTTAATAAAAATGAAATATACTTCCGAAAGAAGACGTAAGGGTAAAGTTTAACATGTAGAAAAAACCATTTATTGACAAATATTATATTACAGAAAAAAATTGCTAAAGTTGCCAGTTGGCGAATATATTTTTGCTTATTGCCAATCTCTAAGGATACATTTTATAGTATCTCGTAATATGCAGGACTCCTTTCTTTTGACGTAATCCATAACGACCGGGAAAATATATTTAGTTTCTGACCGTACTATCCATTATTTTTTGCCACCACAAATGGCATAATGCTGTGATTGCTACACCACATATCAAGATTGATGATTTCGGAGATTCGTGATAATTTTTATGTATCAAACTTTTGAGTTCAATTCCTTTAGCTGAAAGTATTTGTGACAGAGCACGATTATGAGCCAATCCGAAAATTTGATGACAAAGTAGAACATACTATTCTTCCCCAATGTAGAACAGAATCTGTCATTCTTTCTCTCTTCCTTTATATATTATTATCATTGCACGTGAATACTTCTGATGATGCTGAATATAATTATGATAATTATCATCACTGCACCCCATAGGAAACAAGAGAAACCGGCTTTTCTAGTATTTTTCTCATTTGTTCACATCAAAATAATTATCCTCACAGTAAACTCAATTGTAAACAATTGGTTGAATTGCCCGTCAGAAAGGTTTATTTAGAATGATTTATTTTTTATTTCTCTGTCTCTCTGTCTATCTGTCCATCTTTGTCTTTTAACCACATTTCTGACAAAAGTCATCAGAGACTCATTTACTTTTCTCTCACGACAATCATCACTGTTCGTGAAATCACGCTGAGCAGCTGAAGTATCAATTATTGTTGAGAGTCTCTTAGATTACTGCAATCCTGAATAACATTATGATACAGGAACTAGGATCTAGTACACAATCTACTACACACTTTAGGAATCACGCCCGAGTTTCACAAAATCATCCGTCTGTTTCGTCTAGTATAAGATCGACATATAGTCGATGTGCTTTTCTACAGATACAGATTTTCATACTTTAATCACAGTCATCTGTGTCTTACCGATGCTTTTGTAGCCATTATCACAAGCATATTCGATTGCTTTTGATCTAAACCAACATATTGACTGATTTAACACATTTGAATCTTTTGCTTTAGGTGACTATGGAATAAACACTATTTTTTTACAAGCCAATGATCCCGATGACGTGACGATTACTTTTTGAGAATTCTGTACTGAATATTCATTGAATACTTGTATTCCTGCCACATCGATTACTGACTTTCTTAAAACATATGATGTTGAACAAACAACAATAACATCATCCTGTGAATCAATTGAGCATTACAGAGGTGCAAGAAT